GGGGGGCGGGGGTGCTCCCCGCACGTCGGGGCGCCGACCAAGCCTGGGGAGAGCAACGGGAGGCCGAGCCGAGCAGAGGATGGGGGCCAACTGGGAGCTCGCCACTCGGGCGCACTGGCCCCCTTGCTGCTGAACGGGGGCGGGGGGGGGCGAGGGGGATCCTCCGCCAGTGGCGGTGTCCGCGCAAACATCTGGCACCGCTCCCCTCGCTGGCCCGGGAAATCGAGAATTGGTGGGTATGTGCTTCGCATGCGCGCCTCGCACGGCTACCCGGGGAGGTCAGCCGGGCGCACGCACGACGCCCCCGGCCCACGGCCATGCTGACGGCCCGCCCCGCCCCGGCCCGCCCCGGCCCGCCCCCCGGGACCCTACGCACCGGGGGGCACCCCCCCCCCGCCCGCCGTGCCCCAGCACCCTGCCTCTCGCCAAAGGCCCCCCGCCCCCCCCGCGCCCGTGTGTGGTGTCCCGCCATACAGGCGGGCGCGTCCGAGCGCCGAGGCGCGCGCCCAGTCCCCGCGCCAAGCGGAGAACGTCTGACACATATCGATCCCAGATTCGATGCCAATGGCGGGTGTATCTCTTCGGCCCCGGAGCCCCCGAGGCCAGGAGGGCGGGCCGGCCACGGCAGACGGGCCTGGCGCCGCCTGGCGCGCCGCACGAGCTTGCGACTGCGCACCTCCGCCCGCGCCCTTGCGCGCTCGGCCAGACGCCGCAATGCCGCATGCAGCTGGTGGCCTGAGCGCCCCTATCCTCCCCCCCCCGGCCCCCCCCCCTGGGGCAGGCGGCGGGAGGTGGCTTACCGCAGAATTTGGCCGGCTTATCTCGCCGCCGGTGGCCGTGGACGCGCCCACCCCAGCACCCCCGGGTTTCATGTGTGCCCCACCTCTCTCTGCCTCGTCAAGCCTCATTGCCCGCCCACCAAACGGCACGCTGCCACGCCTTTGTCCCCACTCGACGAGTGGGGGAGAGAGAGAGAGAGGGGCGGGGGAGAAGGACACCGGACGCGCATGCCCACCAGGGATGGCCTCGATTGTGTGTGTGTGTGCGCACACGCATGTACCCCCGCCCGGCTTTTGGGGCGCGTCCTCAGGCGAGCGCCGGGCGCCTGCGTGCCGGGGGGGGGGGGGGCCGAAAAACAGCCGGCCCGCTGGAATTTCTCCCGCCCCTTCCCCCCACATGCCCCGCGTCTCGGTCCTGCAACGTTGCGAGCCTGTAACCGGCCACAAACGGGGTGGGGGCACCCCCCCCCCCAGCCGGCGTTCTTCCCCTCCGGGCCCCCAGGGGGGCGAGGGAACGCGGTGCGTGAGCGGCGTCGTGTTCTTCTCCATCAACGGGCCGGGGTCACATTGGGCCGAACGGGGGCGGCGGGGGGGGGGTATTATTGTGCGATTTTTCGCCAGCGTTGCCCTCTCCCCTTGGCCCCGGCCGCGGCTCTCTCCCAACACAAGACGGGCTCATCATTGGTGGGCATCTCACCCGAAAGATCGGCAGGCCGGCGGGGGGGGGGGGGGAGGCGGGCTGGCGAACGACGCCCACACACGAGCATAGCCCGGGGGCGGGGGGGGGGGACTGACAAGCACGACAGCCGGCGGCTGTGGCGGTGGCGCAGCGGTGCCGCGCGCCGCGGCCGGTCCACCGGCGCACCGCGTTCCCCCGAATAGCGCCCCTGGGGGCAGGGCAGGGGCGCCAGGCCTCGGGTTTCGGGGGAGCGGCATGGGCCGATGTGCCGGAGGCGCACCGGGCCCGCTCGCTTCGGGGCCCGGGGCCGACGCGTTGCGCCCCGCCTCGAACATATTTCCTCGCCCCCGGCGCTCGGGTTCCCTCCCCCCCCGCGTCTTCGGGGGCCGGTGGCTGCGCTCCCCGAAGACGTGGGGGTTCGACGCGCGTGCCACTTCCCCCCCCCCTTGGGAGGGAGCTTCGGTCTGGACAGGCCACGGACACACGGACACACGGACACACGGACACACGGACACACACACACACATGCACGCACACACAGACATGCACCCGGCGCATGCCGCGAGAGGGCGTGCCGGAGCTCGTCACATGTGGGCCAAGCGCGCAATGTCCCGCCCCGCCCCCAGCGAATGGCAGATTCGGGCGCCCGCTCGTCGACCCCCCCCGAAGGGATGGCACCGGGCGTCCGCCGATCGGATATGTCGCTCACCGGGGTCCGCTGAGTGCCGGCGGCGACGGCCGGTACGCGACGACAGCCAGGCGTCCGGGTGTCCCAAGCTGCTCTGCGCCCGCCCCCCCCCCCCCCACCTCATATACATGCTCGGGGAGACCCGGGCGGACAGGGACCTGCGACCGAGCCGTAGCCGAGGGCCGCCTTGGACACCCCGAAGCAAGGCAGCCCGCGCTAACACCTGTTCCGGCCCTCCCCCGGGCGGCAGGCCGACGAGCAGCAGGCAGCGGGCGCGCAGGGCCGGGAGCGCTGGTCGTGAAGCCGGCGCGCCGCCGCCAGCCACCCACGGGCGCTCCCTCCCCCACGCCCCCCCAGGGGCCGTCCGTAAAGGAGCCGGCTGACTCCCACCAGGCGGCGGGGCCCTGCACATGGGGCAAAACCGCCACCACGCCCTCACCAAACGGCCGCGAGCACACGTCCGGCCCTCTGACCCAGCGGTGCACGTCCCTCGGCGCCCTGGGCCCCCGGGTGGGGCCATGGACGCTCGCGCGCGCGCGCGCGCGCGCGTGGCTAGGGGCACCCCGCCGCCGGGAGCAGCCCCGCCGGAAGAGGGGGCGAGAGAAGGGCAGGCCAAGAAGCTGGGCGGGCGACGGACGGCCCGCCTGCCGCGTGGTGGGCGATCCGGCGATGCACGGAGGCCCCCACTCGCGGCACAAAAGCCATGTCAATGGCCCGACCCCGGGGTGAAAGCCACCCCTCCACGGGGCGACCATTCCCCCCCCCCCCCCCCGCCCCCCTACCAGCACCCAGTGCGCACTCCGTCTTACGAGCGCCTCCGTTGCTGGCCGGGCCCACGCTCCCCGGCTGACGCACATCAAGCGGCAAGGGAAAACCGCCGCGGCGGCTGCCCAGCCGCCGGGAGGCCAGGGCCTCCTTCGAGGAGCCCGCGCCCGGGACCGTCAGCGCGCGCCCTGGGTTTTTAATTGCCGCGCGTCGGCGCTGAGCCGCGGCCACGGTCGCGAGTCGCGGCCAGGCCACACGAGAGACACGCCCCCCCCCCCCCTGCCGCCCCTCGTGCAACACGGGCCGCCCGCATGCGCCCTCCGCCGCCGGTCTCGAGGGCCCTCCCCCCCCCATGACATCGGGCGGCGAAATGGAAATCCTGTCCGTTGGCAGATGAGGATGGCATGATGCCCTCGCCCGACCCGGTGTGTTTGCCGGCCTCGGCCTCCCCCCCCCCTCCCCGTCTGGGGCCGGCCGCCGGAGGCGCGCACAACTGTGCTGCCGCGCGCGCGTCTGGCGTTCGCCGCACGGCGCAGCGGAGGGCCGCCCGGGGGTGGCTCCAGTCCCCCCCCCCCCTCTACGACATGCTCTTCCTCCCTGTGGGCGCCACAAGAAAAGAGCCGCACCACGGATCGCGCGCCGAACGCACGGGACGGGGTCCAGGCCGTCACCAGTTATGGCACCATGCTGACGGAATCGGGCATGCACCGCGGGGCCTGCCCCAGGCCAGGGAGGGGGAGGCCCGGGGACGTGTCCTTGCCCCTCGTGTCCCCCCGGAAAAGAACGGACCGGCCCACCTGCGCACCGTGCCGTCCCCTCGCCACTCCCCCCCCCCCGCAGTGCCCATTGCTTAGCAAGCCTACGTCGGTTGCCCGGCCATCGGCCGGCCGGTCGGTCGGTCGGGACCTTCATGTCACCATCCTTCGCCTGCATGTGCGGCTGCCCCCCCCCCCCCTCTCGCCAGGGTGCTGGGGCGGCCGGGCGCCCAAAGAGTCGGGACCGATTGAAACACGGTCGGGGTGCCGCGGGCAGGTTCGCGCGCCCGGCGCGTGTGCCGCGCCAATTTTACCCGGACCCCACTGCTCCCGCCGGCCTTCCTCCCCCGGCTCCGGCGCCAGGCCCGACAACATCAGACCACCCCGGCGGCAGTGGCTCGTCCACACAACCACCATCGGTCGGCAACCGTTTCACCACTCCCTGGCGAACCCCCAGGCCCCCCCTGCGCGCCCCCACGAACACGACCCCGCCTGCCCGCCCGCCCGCCCGCCCACCGTGCCCTGGCAGGGACGCCCAATCTGCTATGGGAGAATGCGGTACTGGAAGCAGGACGATCCGACAAATCAGACGCCGGCCTGCTGCGGGTGCCCCAACGCAGCATGGCCAAGCCCGGATGCGGACGGAAAAAGCAGCACAAAAGAGGATGTATTGGGGGGGGGGGGATGAAGAGAAAGGACACGCAGGCAGGGAGGAAAGGAGCAGATATTCCCTCGTGCCCCCCCTCCTCTTTCTCTCTCTGGCTCGCTCGCACAAGCAAAGGGCCAGCAGAAAGAGAGGGGCAGAAGAGGGAAAGGGAAGGGGCTGGGCCTGTCTCTTGCTTTAGTTGCCGCGGTCCGGGAGCTGCTGCATGTCAGCCCCCTCGTCGTCGCCGGCATCGCGCATCTCCTCGTCCTCATCTTCCTCCTCGCCCTGCGCCACCACCAGGTCAATCGACCCCTGGCCATCGCAGCCCAGGTACGAGTCGCTGATGAGGTAGATGTTGTAGGTGTGCTTCCCGGCGGTCGGGGGGACAAAGCTCAAGGACAGGTCAAGCGACTTCTGGAGAGTCACACGCTGCGCGCGCGCGGGGGGGCAGGGCGGGAGGAGGGAGAGAGGGCGAAACAAAAGAAAGAAGAAAGGGAAGAAGAAAGGGAAGAAGAAAGAGAAAGAGAATGGTTAGAAGAGACATGGCTCGCGGGAACAGCAGCAGAGACAGAAAGAGCCCCGCATCTCGCACACGCGCGCACCTTAATCTCAAACAGCGTGTTCGAAGCCAGATCGCCGATAACCACCCACCAGGACTCGTCCTTCGGGTGGGGATAGTACGGGGCAATGACATCGCCCACCTCCTCCGGCTCCTCGTCCTCGGCCAGCTCCTCGTCCGGGTCGCGCACAAGCTGGATGCTGACCTCCACCTCGTCGCTGGTGGTGATCTCCTCGGCCGGCGTGGCCACCTCGTAGGAGATGTCCACATCCGGGTACCGGTTGCAGTAGGCAGCCACCTCCTCCAGCTGGCGGTTGGTCAGACCGGCCAGCAGCTGATCCCGGTCCTCGTCCTCCAGGCCCTGGATGTCGTGCACGGTGGCCACCCCGAGGGACTGGGCCTTGGCCAGCAGATCCGGCCCAAAGTGCGGGACCTGGCGCAGCATCGGCTCCGTGTCCCACTGGGCCTGGACCAGCATCTGGGAGATGTCCATGGCCGCCAGGGCCGGCGTCAGCCAGCTATTGGAGGAAATGACATCGATGCAGGCCCGGAGCAGGACCAGCGCCCGGCCAACGACCAGCTTCCGGTCGGCCTCCAGGTCGGCCGGCAGGGCGAACCGCGAGAAATGCGCCTGCAGCAGCAGGAAGGCCTTGGTATGCGGGTCGTTGAAGGCCCGGTCGGCCGGCAGCTTGAGCTTCACGCGATCATGCAGGCGCTCCAGCAACAGATCCTCCCGATGGCGCATCGGCAGGTCGGAGAACTCGCTGGCCGCCGACAGGATGCTGAGCAGGCCACGCTGGCGGATGCGCGCCGTGAGCGACCGCGCAAAGTACTATGTGTGCCGCACAGGGGGGTGTCAGTATACCATGCGGAGCAATGTGCCACGGGTGGGTGAATGGAGTGGGGGCGGAGAGGACAGAGAGGACAGAGAGAGCAGAGAGAGCAGAGAGAATAGAGAGAATAGAGAGAATAGAGAGAGAGAGAGAGAGGACAGAGAGATGGGCAGGAGCAAACCCAAGAGACAACCGTACCTCGATCGTGGTGTACTGGATGTTGTAGAAGGCCGCAATGCGGCCCAAATTCAGCGGAGCAACCGAGTCCTCCTCAATCTCAATGCACTTGGACTCGCTCAGGTCCACCAGGGTATCCTCCGCCAGCTTGGACAGGTACTCGTTGATATGGTCACTGTCCACCCCCTCCAGACTGTAGTAGTTGGGGTTGCGCGTCAGGCGCTGGAAGAAGTACGTCCAGGTGAAGTAGTCCAGCGCATCCTGGAAGCAGCCAATCACATCGGCACACACTTCGGCATTGATGTGGTCGTGCAGCCGGTGCGGCAGGTGGCTCTCCACCGGCAGCGCCTCGAAGAGGAACTTCTTCAGGTAGTCCCGCGAGGCGGCCGGGCACAAGACCAGCGCATAGGCCGCATCGTCCTCCAGCGGCCGACAGGCCCGGCCCAGCATCTGATGAATGTCCGCCAGGGGATACGTCACATACCGATGCTCCCGACCATCGAAGGCCTGGGTCCCGTGGAGAACCACCAACGAGGAGACCATCCCCCGGGGCATGCCCCAGCAGGTGGCCGCCGTGGCCACCACCACCTGGATGGCCCCGGCCGCGAAGAGGGTCTCCACGGTCCGACGCTCCAGCGACGACATGGCCTCATGGTAGTAGGCAATGCCACAGGGCAGCAACTCCTGCAGAGTGGCATCCCCAGCGAAGACCGGCAGGAAGCGCTCGATCTCGGCCGGCGGCACATGCAGGAAGGCGGTTCGATCGCCGGCCGCCTCGGCCAGGCCCTGCAACTCCAGGGCCGTCAGCCGGGCCTGGCGCCGGGAGGCCGTGAAGACGATGGCCGGCTTGCCGCCCTGCGCGGCGATGGCCCGGAAGGTGGGCTTCGCCATGGCCAACATCAGCGACTGGTGATGGCTGATGCCGAACCCCTGGATGCTGATCTCCAGCGGCACCGGCCGCACGCTCGGGTGGAAGTTGAACACGGCAAAGGGCTTCACATGCAGCCAGGCCGCCACATCGCGCGCATTGGCCAAAGGATAGGACAAGCCCACCAGGCGCACCGGGTGCTCGGTACGCGACCGGATCAAATTCAACCGCGACAGGACCACCTCAATGGTGGGCCCCAGGGAATCGCTGCCCAGCAGGTGCAGCTCATCGGCGATGAAGAGATCCACCGACTGGACATTGCGCCGGCGCATCCACCGGCGGGACAGGACATCCCAATGGCTCGGCACCGTCAGCACGATGTCCCCCACTTCCAGGAGCTTCAAATCGGCCGACGACTCGCCGGTCAGCACGACCACATGCTTGTTGAGCTCGGCAAACTTGCCGCGCCACTCGGTGGCCAGCTCCTCCAGCGCCTCGGCCCGGGGGGTCATGTAGACCACGCGGCTCCGAGCGCCGGGGGCCTGCTGCTGCCAAAGTCGCAGCATGGCCAGCTCCGCACACAGGGTCTTCCCGGACCCGGTGCGCGCACACACCAGGGCATTCTCATTGGAATTGAAGAGCACCGGGAAGCACTGGGTCTGCACCGGATTGAAGTACTTGATGGCACCCTGGTAGATGCGCACAAACTCCGGCCGGCCGAGGGCCGACACCAGCTGCGGCTGCAAGTCATGCAGCTCCGTGTGCGGGGGGAACTGCTCCGGCAGGATCATGTTCTTCAGGGACACCGGACGCGTGGTCGGGGCCGTGAGCCAACGCTCGGAGATGATCTTGACAAAGTAATTCGGCGCCAAGGGCTCGAACACCGGCACCGTGAAGTCCATATAGTGGTCCTCCTGGCTGTAGCGGGCCTTCAGCACGAAGGTGTCATGATAGAGGATGGTCTCCTGGTCGACATCCTGCACCAGGACCAGGAAGGTTTCGGCCGCGCCATGGACACGCTCCGTGAACTCGAAGTCCGGGGTGATGGTCAGCGACATGCGCAGCAGCGACCGCGACAGCGGCAGGACATCGATGGCCAGCAGCAACTTCGGCACTTGGTGGATGGCCTGGTACAGGGTCTTGCCGAGGTACGACTGCCGGACCAGCTCTCCCAGCTCGATGTAGCTCAAATCCGCCAGCCGGTCAAAGGACAGCCCCTTGGTTTCGAGGCTGGCCACCGTGGCCGCCGGCAGGTGGGGGAATTGCCGCAGCGGGGACATCGACAGCCAGCACCGCTTGTCCACGATCTTGCAGAAGTCCAGCGTCTTCTCGGTCATGGAGGCCCACCGGCGCTCGAGGCAAATCTCGTGCATGGCTCGGGCCAGACGCCCGGCCGACTGCGTGATGTACACCATGTCCGACAGCAGGGCAAAGCCATCCAGCCGCAGGCGCGAAATGTACGACTGCAGCAGGACATTCACCTTGGCCGAGGGCTCGTCCACCGACTCGCGCACCGGGATCGGCACATTCTCCAGGAGCTTCTGCAATTCGAGCTTCTCCTCCGACCGGACGGAAATGTACTTGAACTCCTCGGCCAGGGAAAACACCCGGAGCAGCTCGATCTCGGTCATGGTCGGGCGCAGGTGATTGCTGAAGGCCACCATCGTCCCGTGGGTGATGTAGTAATGCGAGGCAATGCGGCCCAGCTCGGTGGCCTGCAGGCGCCCGGACTGGCGATCATACCGGACCAGCTGGTGCCGGTCCAGGGCACTGGCCGCCGCGTGGATCAGGTCGGTCCGGCGCTGCAGCAGGGTCGGATCGCGGGCCAACTCCTCGGCCGGGACTTGGTATGTGCCCGGCGAATGGAGCATGCGCACATGCAGGTACGTGTACTCCAGCCACCGGACGGCATCCGCCCGGTTGGTCACGGTCCCCAGGACAATCTCGGCATTCAGGTTGTCCGTCAGGCGGGAAATGAACTGCGACTCGATGGGCAGCTGCTGATTCAGCAGCGACAGATAATACTGCAGCTCATTGTGCGTGGTGATGAGGATGCCCTCGCCGAAGGTGTCATACTGCGGCCGGCCGGCACGACCGACCATCTGCATGACATCCTGCGGGGAGAGTTCCACCCAGGCTCCCTTCTCCGGGTTGTACACCTGGGTGCCCTTGATGATGACCGCGTGCGCCGGCAGGTTAACACCCCAGGCCAGGGTGGCCGTGGAAACCAACACCCGGATGTGGCCCCCGGCAAAGAGATCCTCCACCAGGGTCCGGTCCTCGCGCGTCAGACCGGCATGATGGATGCCAAAACCCAAGGGCAGGAGGGCCTGCAGGTCCGGGCTGGTGGCATTGCGCGCCTCGGTGCGCAGGATCTCCCGCGAGCCGGCATCCTCGGCCACAAAGTGCCCGAGGGTCTCCCGCTCGAGGGCCAGGTCGGCCACCATCTTGGCGGTCTTGGCCGTGTCATTACGCGAGTGGACAAAGACAATGACCTGCTGCTGCTTCCGGCAGAAGTCCAATGTCTTCTCGTAGGTGATGTCATTGGACACCTGGAAGCGCCGGAGGGCCCGCTTCTCCGTGATGCCGATGAAGCTCATCTGCAGGGGACACGGCCGGAAGGACGAATCGAAGTAGTACAGCCCACGGGCCGGGTCCACGCGCATGAAGGCCGCCACGTCGCGGTAATTCGGCAGCGTGGCCGACAGGGCCACCAGGCGCACCGGCTCGCGGGTTTGCTCGATATGGCGAATGGTACGCGAAATGACCGACTCCAGCACCGGGCCACGATCATCATGCAGCAGGTGCACCTCATCGATGATGATCAGGCTCACCAGGTTGGTGTATGACCGGTCGTTGGCCTTGCGAGTGATGATGTCCCACTTTTCCGGCGTGGTGACGATGATTTGGGTCTCGGCAATTTGGGCCTTGGTCAGCTGCGCGTCACCGGTCAACTCGGCCACATTGACCCCGAGGTAGGCCAAGCGCGAGCGGAAGTTCCCGACCATCTCCTGCACCAGGGCCTTCATCGGGGCGATGTAGACAATCTTGAAGTCCCCCAGACGCAGGGACCCATCGGCCTCGCGGAAGTGGCTGATGGCCCGCAGGGCAGTCAGCATGGCCACATTGGTCTTACCGGCACCGGTCGGCGCACAGATCAACATATTCTCGTCACTCTGGAAGGCACAGGGGAAGACCCGGCTCTGCACGCGATTCAGGCTGGTGGCCGAGGGGAAGGCATCCTTGGCCCAGGCTGGCAGGCTGCTGATCGGCACCAGCTCCTCGCCGGCGGCCAGGGGGGCCGGCTGGCTGTACGGCACCAGGACCTCCTCGTAGCCACGATGCGGCGTCCGGGTGGTCCCCTCCGGCAGGGTGACCTTGGTGTTGGACATCAAATGCCCGCCCTGGGTGAAGGCCAGCGACTCCAGGTCGATGTTGCTCCGGGGGATGACCGTCAGTGGGCGGCCATCCGGGCCGGTGAACTGCGAGTCCGGCCCGGCGTCGGCCGCCTGGGAGCCGCCGGCCGCCGGCCGCGGAGCTCCGCCAGAGCCGCCGGCCGCCGGGGCGTCGCTGGCCCGCAGGCTCGGGTCCAGGAGCTGGGCCAGGATCGGCTGCAGCGAGGGGTCCTGGCGCATGCGTGCCTCCAGGGCCTGGCGATCGGCCGGGTTTTGGGCCTGGTGGAAGCGCGTGCAATACAGGACGACATTGCGGTTGCGCGTCAGCAGCCGAATCAGCGGGAAGACCTTCTCATTGGGGCCGAAGAAGTCCACCAGGCCGGACTCGCTGTCACGCAGGGAGGTGGCCTCCTCCAGGATGTCCAGAATCTCGTTGGCGCTGTTGAAGCGGGTCTGCTCATCCGGGAAGAAGGGCTGCAATTGGGCCTGCAGCCACTGGGCACCGACCTGATGAGGCTGCAGCCGGGCCTGGCTGGAGCCGGCGCCGGCGCCGGCCGGGGCCGCCATCACCGAGGCGGTCCCGGCGCCGGGGCCGCCTTCACCGCTGGGGATCAAATCCGACGCGCGGATTTGCTGGTCCATGGCCAGCTCGTCGCCCTCGTCCTGGTCGAGGTGGTCATCATCCAGCGCCTCGTAGGAGAGGGCGCTCTGGCCGGAGGCGGCCTCGGCATTGGCGGCCGCCTCGTCGTCATCGGCGTCAAAGAGCACCGACACTCCGACGTCGGCCGTGGTGGCGGACACCACATTCCCGGTGTCGGACCCGAAGTCGGTGATGGCGCGGCCGAGGTTCAGCAGCTGGGAGAACCGATCGGTGGAGAGGGTGGCCCCGGTCCCGAGCAGGGCCTCCACTTGGGTCTTGCGGTCGTGGTCGCGCAGCTTGTCGTCCTTCAGGATGGACAGGATCTCGTCGGTGGCCCCGCGAACAATGTCCTGCGGCATGCCATCCAGGAACTGCTGCACGAAGGTGAGCATATGCTCGAAGGCCTCGCGCGTCTGCGTCGTCCGCGGAACGTAGGCACCACTCTGTGCATGTGGTGGGAGGGGGGGGGGGACACATGGTCAGGGGGGGAAGGGGGGGGGCCGAGGCCGAGAGCGCAGGGTGTGGGGAGCATGGGGGACAGGGAATCCCGGGGGAAGAGGGGGGGGGGGACGCACCTCGAGCTCGTTGAAGGTGTCCAGGAAGGAGACATTGCCCGAGCGCTTGGCTCGCTTCTGGCGATGCTCCTGCTCCTCCTTATGCAGTCTATTGCAGGAAGAGGGGGAGAGGAAAGGGCAGGTCGAGGCAGGGGAGGGGGGAGAGCAGAGAGTCAGCGACATGTGAGTGGGGGCGACATGGGCCAGGGATGGGAGCACAACATACCGGCGCTTCTCGGAGATCACCTTCTCGTCGAAGGTGTCCCGGGCAATGCGAGTGCCAAAGGAGTCCTTGGTGATACGACCGGCCAGGGACTCCGGCGTGCCCTTGGGCTCGTCGACAAAGTGGGTCCTGCGGGGCGACAGTTGGTGGGGGGGGGTTAGACTCGGCCGGGGAGAGGCAGAGAGGGCCGGGCGGGCACGAGTAACCAGCGAGCAACCAGCTAGGGGAAGGAAGAGGAACGAAGCAGAGGGAGGAGGGGGGAGACTGGGAGCCGTGCGCACCGCTTGGTCTCGATGACATTGCTCGACACCTGATGGTAGTCATACTGCTTCTGACGGGCAATATTCTCAGCCATGGTGGACGACGGGGGACCTCACGCGGGCTGCAGGGGCCAGCGGGTGGTTGAAGATGAAAGACGGGGGGGAGGGGGGGGGGGAGGAGGGCCGAGTGGGCGCGAAAGCCACGGGGCAACCTGCCGAAATGCGGCCGGGGTGGAGGGGGCGGGGAAGAGAGGGGGAGGGGGCGGGGAAGGGGGATCGAGGCAAAGAAAGGAGGGAGGAAGGTCGGGGGGGGGGGAGGAGGAGGAGGAGAGGGGCCTTTCCTGCGAGTTGATCTGGCAGCTTCACCAACGGGCAGAGGTGCAAGGGTGCCTCTTCGATTGGACAGGGGGTGGGGGGGGGGGAGGGCGCGCGGATAGAGGCTAGCACCAACGCGCGTGGGCGACGGAGGAAGCGGAAAGCAAAGAGGCATGCTGCACAGGGCACAGGCCCCCCACTCTGGGGGGAATAATGCGCGCGCGCGCGCGGCCGGCGCCCGGCGAATGACCGGGAAAAAGCGCCCGCCTCTGGCGCAATGCCCGCGCGCGCGCGCGCGCGTTTGCGGGGGCCTGTCTCCGTGTCTCTCTCTGTCTCTTTCGGCCCAGCTCCTTTGCGGGCATGCGTGCGTGGGTATGCGTGGGGGCGCGGGCCAGGCGGCCCAGCGGGGGGAGGGCGTTCTCCCGGCCCCGCGCGCGTGCGCGCGCGCCCGTGCGGCGAAAACAGGAGGACACTCTGGCGGGGCTCAACGGACGCAGGCAGTGGGTTGGCAGTGCGCCGGCAGCTCCCGCCGGATATGGGCGTGGGCGCCGGCCGGCGGGAGGTCCAGCCCAGGGACCGTTGCTTGCTTGCTTGCCTGCTTGCGGCGGCGCGCGGCCTTCGCGGGCGCCATCACCGGCATGATTGGATCACGCAGGTCGCGGCGGTGTTTAGGTTCAGTGGTGAATGGTGTTTTGTGGGGGTGTGACTCGCTGATCGTCCTGAACGCCGTGGGCTCCCAACCGGCCAAGTATCCCTCCCTTTTTTATACGGGCCCATATTTGCGGAGGGGTGTTTCTGAGCCCTCCAGGCCTTTCGGTTGTCAGTTTCTTGTTGTCCCCCCCGGCGGGGCTCGTCCGCCCGGCTCTTCTCCTCCCGGAGCGCGCGCACCAGGCGGCAGCGGGGCGGGGGCCGGCGGGGGGGGGGGGGGCATCTGGCCCTAAACCGGGCTTTTCTTTATGCCTGCCAGGCCGGCAGGGTGGCAGCCGATCTTTCTTCCTCCCTCTCCTGCCGGGTGCCTGCTGCTGTTCGACGCGGGTGTGTGAAAATACCTTGCCTGTTGCGAACGCACCGCGGCCGGGGGGGGGGGGGGGGGGGGGGGGGG